TCCTAGTCCTTTCCTGCTCCTTCCCACCATCTACTTTCAATTCTTTCACCTTCCTCTGGTTATATTTCTAAATCCCTTGTGTCTGCTGTTCTTTAATCAACATTGTTATGCTAATTAGAGATGTAACAGTCTATCATTACCCCTACTTTCTTCCAATATAGGTAGAAGCACAGTTTGGATTGTATCTCTGGGCATTGTTTGTTATTAATTTATGTGCACATTCAGAGCTGAGCTAGGTAGTAGTCTACTGTTACAGTTTTTCTTTTTCCTGGAATTAATAATTGCCTGACTTTTAAGAAGTCGATTGCTTTCCTTAGTACCTGTCACTGTATTTTTCTAAATGCTGCAACAGATCAGTCAGAAACAGTAATCTAAAATCTCTCACCAACCAGTTTGGTTTCATAGAAGAGACCCAAGTGAGAAGGAAGGAGTTCTTGGTGTGGAAAGTGATGTGTGCTGAGGTAGAACCCTGGAGGCCCTTGTGTCCCCACCTGAGGGGCTTCCGACTTGGGGATGCAAGGTGTTGCTTCCTGAGTCTCGGGTCTCATGGCCTGAAATTAATAAGAACTCAAAGAATCAGAGCAGAGTCGATAAGTGAAATGATGGTAACCTGTAACTGAGCTTCAGAACGTGACTCAGGGTGACCTTCTGGGATTTCTTCTTTAAAACATTATGATACAGGGCAGGAGCTGGGGATCGGGGTAGGGTGCTCACCTAGCATGTGCGAGGCCCTGGGTTCAATCCTCACCACTACATAAAATAAATAAGTAAAATAAAGGTATCGCGTCCAACTACAATTGAAAAATAAATATTTTAAAAAATATTATGATACAATGTTAGCACAGCCAGTTGTAGATACTGTTTTTGGTGGGATTGAGGATTGAACTCAGGGACACCCTATCACTGAGCCCTTTCACTGGCCCTTCTTATGTTTTATTTTGAAACAGGGTCTCTCTAAGTTGCTGAGACTGCTTCAAACTTGTGATCCCCCTGCCTCAGCCTCTTGAGTCACTGGGATTACAGCCATGTGCCATCGCACCCAGCAAACATGACTGTTTCTAATGTACACAAGGCCCTGGGTTCAATCCCCAGTTCTTCCCTTCCGCCCATTAAAAATTAGTGGCTATTTCTAAATTGTAAAGTTTATTTCTTTCTGTATTTGACAGTTGAACTCTTTTAGGCTGGATACATTATTAGCTATGAATGATATTTCTGTCTTTCAAAAAAAATCTGGGGAAGGGAGGGGGCATGGGGCAATTAATGATAGTAGAATGTGTACTATCCAAAGTACATGTATGAAGACATGAATTGGTGTGAATATACTATGTATACAACCTGAGATATGGAAAATTGTGCTCTATATATGTAATAAGAATTGTAATGCATTCTGATGACATATAAGTTAAAAAAAACTTACATAAAAAAATAAACTCGGACACATTCTCAGTGTGAAAAAAATCTGATAGTGATTTTTACTCTTCTTGAAATATATCAGAGGTTATAATGGTGCATGGGGCAAGATGAAATGTTATTGTTAATTAAGATATTGTGTTGAAGAAGAAGGGGTTCACAAGAACAGCTAAAATGTGTACAGCAGAATGAGATTTGGAATGACAAAGTTCTGAAGTCTCATAGGCCTACATTTCTTAATTTATGAAACAGAAGGGTAGTTATTAAATGCTCTCTGGTATTTAGAGATTATCCCTTTGTGTTTCATTGGCTGTATTCAGTGGAGATATGTGACGGCTTCCTACCACCCTTAGATGTCGCTCTCCCTGTCCTTACCCGCCTTCTTTCTCTGGCCCTGTGAGCCATGGTTGGTGCTGCTGATTAAGCCGCAGTGACTGTCCTCTGCATGGCTTCACTCAGACTTGAAAACAGCTGTTGTCAGGTTTTTTTCTGTTTATCAAGCCAATACCCTAAAGGCCACTTTCCCTCCAGGGCTGTTATAACCCTGTCATTTCTCTAGTGAAGCACAGAGCTCAAGAATCTGTGCATGCACTGATCTTGCCAGCACTGTCCCACTCCTGCATCACCAGCTGTTCCTGTCACCTCTGCCTTCTTCCTCACCTGACACCGCCATCCCTGGGACTGGTCAGATGGCTTCCTCTCAGACATGGCTGTTCTAAAACCTTTTCTCAAGTAATAGATGCAAGTGGTTAAAAAAAAAATAATCCCTCAAAATACAAAAATGAGGGTCTTTCACATCCAGCCTTAAATGCCCCTGTTTTCTTCCACAGATGCAGGTGCTCTTCAGTTTCTTGCATGATCTTCTGGAGTTATCTACAACATGCCTTCCCTGCCTCCCTGTGTTTTGAACATAAAGGGCAGGGTACCCTCTACACATTGAGTCTTGTTCTTCTGAACATTTCACTTGAAGGTCTTTCCTCATCTGCCCACTGCCCAGCTGCATACAGCAGAGGGCGCCATTTGCCCAGAGCAGCCCAGGAGCTTGGGCTGGATAATGCAGGGCAGAAACCCTGGCTGTACAGAGCTTTTTTGAGACTGTGACATCTACTGAGTGAAGCAACTGTAACTTCTCTAATGAGGATGGGCATTTAGCTGACTATCAGCCAAGATTTGGTTTAAAGAACAATTGTCCTCAAATATGATTCTCAAAAGATTCGAATTTTTAGTGACTTTTGTGACAGTTATTTGGTGCTGGCAGCGCCACAGCCAGGGATGTCTAACTTGGTTTTGTTTCATCTCTCTGTAGGCCCTTTGTAACTGCGGGGAGCCAGAGACAGCAGACACTTCACCAGCTTGAGCCATGCGCTGCAGACACAGTGCTATATCTCTCCTCCCAGTAGCTGGTCAGGCCAGCAGTACAGACCCTACAGCTTCTTCACTAAATGTATGTAGACTGGCACACACTTCCACCTCCTGCAACAGGAAAGTAGGGGTGCTTTCCTGACTTGATTTTTAAAGAATTAACATTATAGTGATTGTTAAACTAAAAATGCATGATCTTGTTCAAGAATTATCTCACATGCCACAGCTGTATTTGGAGAGCGCTAGTTTACTTGGAGCCCTTTATTTGGGGCACCTGAGGCCTAAAGGTATTGAATTGTGCCCCAGATACCCTGCTGATTTAGAGTCACACCAAGAAGGCACGCACTGTTTTTAGCTGGGCCCTAGCTGAGGAGATAGGACATCTCATCTTGAAAAGTTCAAGAGACTCACTACCTACGCTTCCTATTTCTGATAGTGTTTGAAAGTGTGATCTGGACTAAATTAGCTCATCAGGCAATCAATGGAGATGGAGTTCACAGTTTAGCAGTAGGTTAAATTTTGGATAACCAAGGCAATTCATGATGATTCTAGAATGTTCAGCAGATATAGAAAAATCAGAAGGGATTAGCTGGCCAGTGATCTGCTGCTCCAACAATGGACTGCCGCTCTTTTCACACAGCACCATGTCCTGTGCCTCCCTGGGCTGTGTGGTGACCGTGGAATTCTCCACTGTGAAGATGCGGATCATTTTAGTGTGGAAGTCTCATGGTACCTGGATTAGTGGCATAGTGACACAGAAATGAGGTCAGGTCATGGGGCTGGAGTACCACAGGCTTGGTTGTACCTGTGGATTTAGGTTCAAGGAGAAGAGAGGTGGCTAGAGCTGGGCCCGCTGGTCTCTCCCCCTCATGCCCACAGCCTCATTTTTTTCTGAGTTGACTTTGACCCTTAGAGGAGTATTTTAGACCCAGAGGCCTTGGGAATTTTATTTCTGATCATCTTTTCCCTGCTTGAAAAAGGCTCTTCTCCAACTCTTCTTGTTCAAGTGTGCCCTTCATCCTTGCACACCTGCACTGTTGACCCACATCTGCCTCTGCCTCTCCACCAGCCCTTCTTGTCCTCAGTTATGTGGACTACTGAGGTCATTGCTCCTGAGTCCTGCTGAGCTGGGCTGCAGTGAGAAACCCTCTGTGGAAGCCAGTGTGCTTTTCTATTTCAGGAGTGTAAGGATGGCCTTAGGCCTGAGCCTAAGCGACTCCATTTTAAAAACTTCAGTTTGAAAGCTGCAGTCTCACCTGGCATGCCTAAGGGAGCCCTTCAGTATGGCCTCAGACACAAACAAGTCACTTCTCCCCACCCTGAAAAACAGAGTGAAGCCTCTGTCAGGCTGTTCTCCCCTGAAAAATGGAAAGGTGAGAAAATCAGGGAGGGACCACCAGACCAGATGTTTTAACCCCAGGGTGAATGTTGTCACTGAGAAATCTGGTGGTAACTGATAAGGATTGAAAAGGGGGTCAAAAGCCCCAAAATTTAGTATAAATAATAGAGCAAATGAACAGACATTCAGCCAGCCAAAACAAGGATGCACCCAAGCTGGAGAGTCTGATGAGGACCTGGACTGACATCTCATCACTTGTCATCTTGTGCCTGATCCTTACCACTCTCTAACTCTACAGCCACATCTTGACCCTGGTGAGAGCCGCAACTTCTCCCTGTGACCCTCTCCTCAGCTGGCCATCAGCTCCATTCCAGGAGAAGCCTGCCTTGGTTCCTGACCTGATCACCGCGGTCTGAGTGAGTGTGTGTCTGCTGGACATAAAGCCTAAGGCTTGAGACTTTTGAACTTAGCATGCAAAGGGAATGTCTGTCATTAGCCTGTCATGATTAAGTGTGTTTGCAGTGCTTAGAATTAATCTAGAATAGTTTGCTGTGAATTGATTATGTCTGTTGCAGTGCCTAGCATGAACAATGGTCATCTTCTTGGTTAAGAACTTATAGAGTGAAATTTTATTAAGTGATTCTTGTGAATAAAGCATTGAAAAGGGCAGAAGTGCAGGGACATTCTTTATTTCTCCCCCTCGACTGCATATGTTGCAACTTTGCCCCTCATGACAATGAGGAAATAGCTTTTGAAATTCTAGATCTCCAAGACACAAAAAATCATGGGTTTTCAAAACTTACTAAAGAGGATGTAACCTTGTACTTGTTGAAACTGTCCCCTATTGTAGAGGCCTCACTTAAATGTCATGGGTCCCATTTAGTAAGTGGTTTTACTTGCATGATTATGAAAGAACTTGTGTTGGGGCTGTGGCTCAGTGGTAGAGCATTGGGCCAGCTTGCACAAGGCCTCAATCAAGTTCAATCCCCAGTACTGCAAAGAGTAGAAAGAGTTCAGTATATCAATGTGGATGCTACAATGGATTGTGCATGCGGTGTGTGTGCACATGCACACATGTGTTTCAAACATGAACTTCACTCACATAAGTGTAAGTTAACAGGTGTATAAGTTAACCTCATTGTCCCTCCAGAAAGTGTCATAAAGAGTTGAAATAATAGTAAATCTAAATAGCCTTTGAAGTTCAACAGTCTTATACTTGATATTAAAATAGTAAAATGCATGTTAATAAAGAACTTAATTCAATAGGTAGGCGTTAAAAAATCATGGTTGTGAATAATATTTATGAATGTGGGAAAATATTCACAGTGTAACAGTCAAATAAAATTGTGCCTATGCAGGACCTATATAAAGGAAACAAAAGCAATAAAATAAAAAAAATTCTGATAAACATAAAAATTAAAATAACAAAAATATTACCACTTAAATTGATAAATTGAATAATAATACAATGAATAATAATACAAAATTTCAGTTTTATCTAGTGAATCATAAGTTCCATAGAATTTCTTTTTTTGTTGTTTTTTTAATTTTTATTTTTTATTAGTTGCTCGAGACAATACAATGATCTTGACATATCATACATTTGATTCAAATGGGGTATGAATTCTCATTTTTCCACGTGTACAGATTGCAGGATCACATTGGTTATACAGTCACGTATATACATACAGCAATACTAGTGTCTGTTGTATTCTGCTGCCCTCCTTATCCCCACCTCCCTCCCCTCCCGGGTGTTAATTTTATATCCTGCTATTTTGCTGAATTTGCTTATGAGTTTTAGAAGTTTTTTGATGGAGTTTTTTGTATCTTCTAAGTATAAAATAATGTCATTAGCAAATAAGGGTAGTTTGAGTTCTTCTTTTCCTGTTTGTATCCCTTTAATTTCTTTTTTCTGCCTAATTGCCAGAGTGTCAAGGACTTCATTGAATAGAAGTGGTGAAACAGGACATCCTTGTCTTATTCCAGTTTTTAGAAGGAATGCTTTCAATTTTTCTTCATTTAGATTGATGTTGGCCTTTAACATACATAGCTTTTACAATATTGAGGTATGTTACTACTATCCCTAGTTTTTCTAGTGTTTTGAACATGAATGCATGCTAGCTATATTGTGTCAAATGCTTTTTCTGCATCTGTTGAGATAATCATGTGATTCTTATCTTTCAAGTTTATTGATATGATGAATTATGTTTATTGATTCCTTTATGTTGAACCAGACTTGTATCCTGAGGATAAATCC